AAAAAAAATTGATGTGCCATTTGTTTTGTCAGAGAGGATTATATCAAGGCTAATCCTGGCATAGGACAATCTAAGCAATGGCCCAAATCCAACAAATTGGAGGCCCCCCTGGGTATTTATTGTAATTCTTTTGTTAAGCCGGCCTAATCATTAAGCCCAAATATTTGTTTTACCACAAACATGTATACTTTTATTAAAAAGATATTATATTTTAAATAAAAAATGAAAATAAAAACATGACATTCACTGATATAAGTATGCATTTATACTCACAAATATGACAAGTTAACTCATTTAGTAACAGGCATCATATAAAAATTTTGTGCTCCATATATATGTTTATGTGCATAAAACTCACAATTTTGCACTCAAAATATCCCTTTACATCTCCTAAAATCATTCATTGGCTTGATAACATAGCAACTATTGACCCACACCACTAAATTGGAAACGGGAAAATAAGAAAATGGGAGAAAAAAGAAAAGGACTCCCAATAAATAATGGAGCGGGCAAAATTTTTCTCTGAATCTCACCGACGAAAAACAATCTTCTCCCCATATTCTTTATTTCCCACCATTTTAATTTCAAATTTTAAATTCTAAAGAAAAATATGAATGATTATTGATTTTAAAAAGACCCTTATTATCATTTTCTTAGAGTATACTCTATTTTTCAATGTTTTGGCACAAAAATCCTCATTGCTGATATTTTTCTATTTTGAAATTGAAAATCACTCAGATTCATTATTTATTATGAAGAAAATATAGCTGGAAGAAAAAATTGCAATGATAGCGCACATGGCAATTTAATAAGTAATAACCTACTACAAGTCGCAGCCCATTTAGGACATTTTATATACAAGTTGGAGGTTCGACCTTAACCTCCACCGGGATTTTGATTGAGGAAAAAAGACAAAAAAAAACTACCACAAGTCACTAGCAAATTAGCAAATACTATCGTGAGAACCATAATCAGTCAGTACGTTTCCAAAGTGTACCACTACAAAGTAAATAGTAATATTAGACCACACAAAATTCAGCACTTGGAAGATGTTTATTTGTATATGGTGCCGATAAACATTGTTGGGAGAGTGAATAGACTGCAGCAATTGGAATATTTTCGTTTTTTGTTGGGAGAGTGAATAAACTGCACAAGTAACAGGAATTGCAATTTTGGCTTTGCCTCTTGGTCAGTTGGTGACTGATCAGATTCCACTTACTCCTCGAGGGAGAGGTTCAAATTTTTGTACACTTGTGGCTTAGAGCTTTTATAGAAATTCTTGAATTTACCGTGTTCCAACTTTACTTCCATACTTTCCAACTGTGCTACAAGAAATTGGAATATCACAACTTATAAAGTCATCCATAAATAGTTTGAAACGATTGTCAATACATCGATGGCTCCATTTGAGATACGCTCCATACAATTTTTGTCGACGTGGATGCCACAATAATTGGAAGCTTGCAAAATGTGTTGAAATGTGATGTTGTATCAAGTTTTAAATTTCACGTGGTGAAATTGTCTTTCTATTTGTGGATAGATGATTTGATATGCTTCGATTTCCCTTGTCTGGGAATAAAGTCTGTCCACGGTCATGATGCTTGGACTAGGTGAAATTAGTCAAATCACAACAGCCAAGGATCAATTGGATGGTTTACCTGCTCCCAAATTTCATTCCACAATTAAGACACAATCTTTTACACGCACACAAGCATATTTATCCTCCATTTATCTTAAATAGGAAACCCATAAACTGCAACGTACATTTTTATCATTCCATCTCCCACCACAACCACACTAACAATCGTCTCATAGGAACCCGTTTTCCCAAATTCAACCTGATTAGGGGAAATGATAAGAAATAACTCACTTCCCAAATTCAACCTGATTAAAGGAGCTCATCTAATATCAAATCAATCTGTAGAACCCACTTCCCTTCCCCCATACCATAGAAAAAGGGATAGTATATCTGTTAAGTCTTCTCCCGTTTGTGGCTGCCTCAACCTAAAAACAGAAGATAAGATATTAAATTCACACAGTATGTAACGAGGATACACTAAAAACCAATATACTGGAGGATTAAAATTATAAATAATTAACCCCCACTAATGTTTTGCGGCCACCATACAATTTGCACCTGCAGGATGAGGAGTATTTTGTCGTTCTGAAAAAACAAAAATAATTTTTACCATGATTACGGAAAATATTAGAGGGTAATTTTTGTAATTATCCCTATGTAGTAAAAACAAGCTGACGCAAGACAATAAAATGATCATACCCGAGAACTAAAGCATGAAGGCAGGGTCTTTGATTTAACTAGTTGCAAAATTTGGCGGTGGTGGCTGGCTGAGCTCGTTTGACTGAAGCAATGACATGGCCCTGCTCTTAGCTCCTCATACACTTCTCCCAATAGGGAGATACCAAGATACTTTGTGTGGGCTTGGATCTAACTCAAAAAAAAAAACGAATCAGTTTTCTAGGAAGCAGACGAAACCTTCACTTTTTATTTGTAGAATCCAGTTGATACGTGGACACAAGTTAGCGAACTCAAGTCTTGAGATAGACGTATAAAACCAAGTAAAACAAAATAAATGGCTATAATGAACCAAAAAAAAGAGAGACCTTATGCGATCTAACCTCCATTCAACCAATGCACAACCACCACCGGCGTGTATTTCAATTACTTTGTACCTGCAAGTTGCAACAAAAGTTTTATTGCTGATCAAATGTATGTGTATGTGGTAGGAATTCACTCTATGCAAGCAACTCTCAGAAATATTTAGATAATTATAATATTCAATTGGTTAAGTGTACACCAAAACATGTTAACAAAGCATCAAACGTAGTTCTCCACCAAGAAAAATTTATAAACATCATAAGCAAGATGCTGACGAATAATTCAGATTAACGAAGCACACTTCACAGCAATAAGGTAAAAGCCAAATTTGAAAAAGGTTAAAGACTAGCATAATGAAAACTCACACAAAGGTTCTCGGGTTAGATTTCCCATTAGCCCAAGTCCAAAAGGCCATAGTAAATGAACCCTTTTGACACGTTAATGCAACTGAAAAACAGTAATTCAGTATGGCTTGAACTCAATCACCAGTAATCCCCACATGAGCAGTCTCCATCTTTGAAGTGGTGATACCGATTTGTGTCTCGGACAAAAATTTCTCTTCTCTCAAATCCAGATATAAATTTTATAACAACATGGCAATCCCCACAGATTCTCAGGTTCTTTGTAACCCTCAAAGTAGACCCTTGACTAGTATTCAGGAGACCAAAAACTACAGCCAACTTCTCACTGTGCCCACATAAGATGTGCTCCTTCTCTTGTTCCTCCACATCTTGTAGAACATCACTTGTGTGTCTCAAGTAACCTGCTTTCTCCATTTCTATGCTCAGTTTGGCCAACTTGTCCAGAATTTGAGCCATTTGTGGAAGTGATCTGTCACCCGCCAAAAGCATGTATACTTTGTTTTTTATCTCAATCCAACTGCAGCCAGGATTCTTCCTCATCCCCTTATCTCTCATCATATCTCTAACTTTATCCACTTCTTCCCATTTTCCTTTAGAAGCATAAATATTAGACAGCAGAATGTAGTTTCCAGGATTCCTTGGTTCTAATTCAAACAATTTACTCGCAGCAACCTCACCCAAGCTCATGTCATGATGAAGTCTACAGGAACTTAACAATGCACCCCAAACACAAGCATCAGGCTCGAGCGGCATTTTCTTAATCACAGAATAGGCTTCTTGTAGTTTTCCGGCTCGACCAAGCAGATTCACAACACATGAATAATGCTCTACTCCAGCTTCAAGACCATAATCCCTGGACATGATTTCAAAATAGTGTTTCCCTTCTTCTGTAAGGCCACTTTGGCTACATGCCGATAAGAGGCTGATGAAACTAAAGGAATCGGGTTTTTGACCATTCCTCTGCATAGACTGAAAAAAATAAATAGCCTCTTTTGCCTTTCCATGCATTGCATATGCGCCCAACATAGCATTCCAACAAACCAAATTACGGACAGGCATATTGTCGAAACAGAATCGAGCAGCTTGGATCTTACCACAATTGGCATACATATCTATCAGTGCACTACCTACATAAACATTGCTCGAAATGTTCCTTCTGACAGAAAAGCAGTGTGCAGCCTTCCCATGCATTAGTGCCGCAATATTTCCGCAAGCCGGAAGCAAGCAAGGGATGGTTACGGAATTCGGTCTCACACCAGCAGACTGCATTTCTCTGAAAAGTTTCAGAGCCTCGATATCTTTACCGTGTTGTGAGCAACAAGCTATCACTGAAGTCCATGAAATGACATTCAATTCCATTCCTCGGCCTCGAAGGTCTTCAAATACCTTAAGTGCCTGGTCAACGAGGCCATGTCTAGCAAGGCCTCCTATCAAGGCATTGCAAGCCCCAACATCCCCTTGGCTAATATCCTCAAACACTCGCATCATTTCTGATACACTGCTGCATTTACTGTACATATTAATAAGTGCACTAGCAATACACTTATCGACAGCAAAGCCGGTCTTGATCACATACCCATGAACTTGAATGCCTAAGTTTAAATACCCCAGGTCACCTATTGCAGGAAGAACACTAGAAATGCTAGTCCCATCGGCTACAAAACCATGTGAAAGCATCTTCTTGAACATCAAAACTGCATCGAGGAAACAAGCACTCTGATTGAATCCTGCAATCATACCATTCCAGGAAACAATATTCGGTTCAAACCCAAGATTAACCTCACCGAATACCTTGTTCACATTTTCCACATCTCCTTTCCGTGCATAAGCAGCAACCAACGCACTCCATGAAACAACATCTCTCTCAGCCATTTTATTGAACAGCTTGTGAGCACTATCTAGGTCTTCACATTTCACATAAAAATGAAGCAAGGAAGACTCAACAAAAGGATCCATGGAGAGCCCAGATGACAAACAAAATCCATGAACTTGCTTTCCAATTTTATCCATCAGTAGTCCGGCACAGGCCTTGATAATGCTTGGAATAACACGGGCATCAGGGTCAAGTCCATTTGTGAGCATATGAGAGAATAAACTCAAAATGTATCTAAAATCATTACATTTAGAGGATGCATTAATTAGTGTAGTGAATGAGAGAAGATCGGGTTTTGGAAGGGAAAGGAGAAGGTTTTTTGCATCCGAAAAATGGTTGTAGTTGGAGTAGAGCGAGATGAGCTTGGTTCTATAACGAGGAAGGTGGTCACAAAGACCTGTTCTAAGCAGTTGAGCATGGGTCTGCTGAACTTGAGAAAGTGATGATGGGGCAGTCCTATTTAGAAGATGCAGCAGATCTGAATGAATGGTGGAACGAGCTCCAGTTCCAGTGGTACTACTGGCGCTTGGTACATAAGAGGTTCTAGAGAAGCCACCGGAATCAGTTATTGAAGCCAGCGAGCTACTGTGGAATGAGGCTTTATCATTTACATTACGAGTCATTATCCCCCTGCGGAAAAAAAAATAATGCCAAAGCAATAACTAGAGTATCAACTAAAAGGGAAAAAGGAAAATTATAACATGTACTAATACACTTTTTCGGCTTTTGCAACCTTAAGGTTTTTTGTTTTTTTTTTGGTAAAGTGAATCCAATTGCATTGTTGTGTCAGATGAAGGTTGAGTTCACGAACATTCATAATTTGCAACCTCAATGCATCTTGATTCTTGACCACAAAATCATCTAGAAAACCACACACGTGTATGGTCAAGATGAAATCCAGGTACTAACCCAAATAAATACTTGAGGTTGCAAAAGCCAAAACAAGCATATTACATGTTGCAATTTTCTTTTTCCCAACTTAAAAATAACAATCACAGCATGCAGGCACTCATATTGTATGTATAAATAAAAAATAATTATTTTAAAAGTATTAGTAGGTTTATTAGTTAATATTGCATATATAAAATGAACTTAAATTTATTATGTAAAAAAATACTAATTTAAGAATAAGATATTAGTCTCAAGTTATTCATATAACAATAATAATATATGTATAATACAGTATACATAGTATAAAATAATTTAAAATAGTAATTGGTAATTTGGTATGTTTATCTCTCATGGTTTATAACAATTATTTTGAGAATCAAGTATATATGATATTAAAACAATAAGTTAACATGTCATTTATTGAACTGCCATGTAAATTTTTAAATTATAAAGAGTCAATATATTTATAATATGTATTGTTATAAATTATGATACACTGATGAGTCATCAATATATTTTCCAATTTTAACATTAAGAGTGAAAACAAAATTATGACAATAAATTATTAATAAGTGATAAAAATGTTAGTTATGAGTATTATTAAATAATTAGATAATTCTAAATTAAAAATTTAGACTAATACTTATTTTATAATGTATGAAGTATGCACATAAATTAATTTAATATATTATATATGAAGGATTAATAATAAAATTACTACTAGATATTAGTTTTAAATTAATCGATATTCACTCACCGACTTAATTTATCTAGTCAATTACTCATGCCCCGTGCATCGCATGGGTACATACTAGTTTTATAGCTAAGTGCGTAGTAATGATTGATTTCTAATTTAAAATGTGTTGGGAAAAAGTGAGTGGAGTAGAGTCAAAAGGTGAATTGGATGAATGGTGTATTATTTCATTGGTGGGTGATTGGATTGAATGTAATATATTCCAATGGCTCCCATTTAAGATGAATAGAAGATCTAGTATCACCTAGTAACAGCATTGCGGGCTTTTCCACGAATACCTAGTCCAGGACTAGCAATCATACGAATTCTGTTGTTTGGATTGCGCCCTATAGGGATGTCTATGTGATTGGAAAGTGGTGAGGATACGCCACGGTCAAGACTTACATAGACTCTCTTTAACGTGTGTTTCTTGAACCGTTCAGCTAGATGGGTGTGAGAGTGCTCATCCTGCATTGAGAAGTATAAAAGGAAAAAGAAAAATGTGAGTAAGTATGAAGTTTTCAAAATATTACAAGCAAAATTTTCCGGATCTAGAACATAGAAGCACCTTTGCAACGACGAGCAATCCACTGGCCCCTTTATCTAATCTGTGGACAACTCCAAGGCGTACAGATTCCTCATATAAGCCAAAACCGTTACTTTCATTACGACCTTGATGTACAGGAAAGGCACAGACCTCATCTCCTGAATCATCAGTCTCAGTCGGTGCTTCTGGACTGATTCGACTGAAACATACAGTGGAAAGTCTGCAGTAGGGAAGAATTTCATTTACATGTGTCCTTGTTGCATTGTCTGGTGCAGGATGAACCACCTGCACAACAGATGACAAACCTTGACTGACTCTAATAAGCAGTCCCATAGACCGAGATATCGATGTGAAGAGAGTATGGCTCAAACCAAACACTCAATGATGTTTAAGGAAAGAAAATGTAGAATCTTAATTTTTTAGATTAACAATGCTCTAAACAGACTAACAGCCCATCATAACAACATTAAAAGATAATTATTGGTAAAGGGCACAGAAAATCAGTTGACAACTTGTTAGACCAAGACTTGAGGAATTCGATTTAGTCATCCTAGAAATGCTGTGGGTTATAAAATAGAGGCTATGACAAAATATAAGCTAACTTCAAGCAACCAAAGCCCAAGAAAAATTGGAAATTTTCAAGAGCTTGAAGTAAACAACAAAAAGCATGCATTGTATTACTGATTCCAAACAAATTGTAACTAACTTCCGAAGTAATTTCAAATATGAGGTTCTCGTGAAGGAAATGTAAACAAAGAAAATAGATACAATGATGTTTGAAGAGCTCACCATGTGAGCAGGCTTGTTGACAACAAGTACGTGTTCATGTTTATAAACTATGTCCAACGGGATGTCTTCTGGTTCAGCCCTGAAAGTCTGCAACTCCGCTATCTTGCAGTTAACCACGTCCCCATCTCTCAATACGTGAGACACCTTCAATATATACAGTCTACCATATTTAACATGCAGTGTAAATTGATAAACTAAATAAGAGAGTAAGATAGCACTCCACCATCTTCTATAACTTAGAAAATAATGTCAAAACATAAAGAAAAGCCAATTTCAGCAACCTTATTAATGACTTGGCTATTGACAGACACCAATCCTGAACGAATGCTGGACTGAACTCTAGCTCTACTGATGCCGCTAATGCGAGAAGATATCCATGAGTCCAACCTCAGCTTTTCGGACTTCAGTTCCACTGAACCCTCGATTGTCACGCTGGAATAATTGTTCAGATGGCCGAAAAATGCGCCGTGCAGGTCATCGGAGACAGAAGCGTTAGGATTTGAGTAGGCGGTAACTGTGCTTATGAGTTTTCGTACAGAAGAGTTTCGAGGGTTTATAAAAAAGAGCTCAGCTGAAGACAAAGACAAGGACTGGAGGGAGAACATTTCCAAGAGTATTATAGTCCAAATAACGATAAGCCGGGGACAGGAGATAACCCCGGGTACACCCTGCATTCAGACACATTTACATTCAACAATGAAAAGATCCTGAAATCAGAGTTGCAGGATTAAGATAAATATAAGCAAGATGTGAAGATTACTCCACCGAAGCTGCAAATTTGATTTACTAACAGCACAGACTAGGGCTTTCCAATTTCCATCATGAAAACATAATATAATATATTTTCAGAAAACCAAGGTATAAGCATTTTAACCCTGTGTTCATACCAAAGAGAGTCGTATTCTCAAGTTTGGAAAACTCAATGCTTCAAGCACACACACAACAGGCATGCAAACGAGTAGATTTTCAAATTTTCAATACGATAGGTCTTATGTTAGGCTATCTAATGTTTAGGAAGTCATACTCTTCCGAAATAATATACTTACTTTTACAGTCAAATGTCATATTTAAAATACAATATAAACACAAGTATGACATTTATAAGAATTGCTAGCCTAACAGCACATTTGTGTTTTCCATCACAAGTTTTCCAATGGAAGACACTACTTCAGAATTCCTAAAATTTAATGAATACCGAAGCTTTTTTTTTTTTTTTTTTGGCTATGTTTTCCTACTCAATTGATCTACATTAATTTTCTCAATTCATATTCTCAATTCGCCATTAGTTCCATGATTTCATGCCACTATTAAACAAAAGCAACTTAAAAGGAGAAAATGCGAGTCCTACGTTCTGCAAATACTTCTCAAGCTCCATCGTTTTTCTTTCATATTGACGAACATAATAGCTCTTATTGCTAACCACTAATAGTACAACTTGTTCTTATTCTAGGGATTTTCACAAAATCGAAGATTTTACATTAAAAAATATACCTGAAATGATATCAACCAAATCAATAAAACTGTCGACAGCAAACTCAAGGTGTGGCGGCGACCTTCAGGCGGCCAGGAAGGGATACTGGCGGCGAACTTCTGCGCTCAGGCACGTGGATGACCAACTCTGGTGCGGCGTTCACTTTCCGGAGAAGGGCGGCCCGGTTTTCATTGTAGCAATCCGCTGCTAATTTTGGTTTTTATACTAATTTTTCTATGCAGTATTTTATTTAATTTGAGTTTATTTAAAAATAAATCACAATTTTTACTTGAGTTATAATTTAAGCGCTATATTATAAATAAATTAAGTCACGATTTTTCATTTATTGCAAATTGAGACACATTAAGAAATTAAGAAATTAAAATTACAACTTTTGTCATCTATAAAATAACTTATATATTAGACAAGCCTTAAATTAAATTCAATCATATTTTCCACATACAATATCATCAACAGTAATCAACGGATTACACTTGATAATTATTACTAGCCTAAACTAGAAAGAAAAACCACAATAAGTATTTCCCTACACTACACCAATGAGACTGGAGACTAACATACTCCAACAAGGAAGACTACAATCGATTGATTGGTATTATTCATAATTGATTCGTATGACTTATATTTTTTCTATTGTATAATAGATAAGATAAAATAATTTTTATATGTATTGTGCAAGTAATTAAAAAAATATTATTTGACACAACATTTATCTGAAAACCAAAGTTAATCTCTCGATTTACAAAATTAGAAAGTTGTGCTGTAATTGCAAAAATTAATAAGTTTTGTTAAATTACAGTTGAAGTATAAATCGTGATTTATTTTTGATTTTTCCTTTTAATTGAAAAAGAGTGATCTAATTGCATTTTATAGCATTTCATTTTACTTGTGTTTCACAATAATTTTTTATGCAATATTTTAGAGTTTCGAAAGAGGAACCTAATTGTTTTTTACCGCATTATTATCGGCTTTAACATTGTTATGGAAAAATATTTGAGAAATACAGTGGAAATCTAACTGCAGGAGTAATGTTACGACAACAATATGATCACAATGAGACATTGTGACATACGGAAAGTGCAACTTCCGCACTGCATATTTTATGAAGCAAGCATTTCTGAGATTACGATGATATAAATTATCAGCTCCAATAAGCGGAGCCAAGTGTTCTAATTAACTTGAACACCAAGCAAAGACCAACTTCAACATCAGTGCATCACCTACTTTTTCAACACTTTCACAAATTCTATACCTTGAAATAGCAAAATCTTATACGATAAAATATTATATTTTTTGTTTCTGCTGTAATTTTAATATATGACACTTCAGCATATGCAGTAATGCATATTTG